ATTTCTACCTGAAATGGAGAGCGGGGAGAACACCCGTGGAGTCACTAATGAAGCTGGAACATAATCCTGGAGAACAGGGAATGCAGTTTTTTTTTTAATATAAATAAACTAACTGCACTGGGGGAGGGGAAGGCGATTCTTAACAAGCTGATCACAATAGGATTAGCACAACTTCAAGAAGTAGCTACAGCAGCATGTTAGGACCCCAACATGCCAATTTGCGCATTGCTAACAAAAAAAAAAAAAAAATTGGAATGCATTTTTTAATAACTGAGACAGACAGAAAACAAATTCCTTGACAGGGCAACCTCTCAGGGAGCCTCAAAGCTCTTTCCAGCCAACATACCACCTTTCTTTGAAAATGTCGCCACTGTTCTGGTGCCAGGAAGGCGCAGCAGGAACTGAGTGCTATAGTGACAGGATAATTGCATCAGTGGTAACCAGTTAAGGGACAATGTGAAGGTTGGGGTTGGGGGCTACCTCCTGCTCCTCTTTAAAATGGAGACACAGAATGTGGATGATTTAAAAACTCTGCCAGCACAGCAACGCAGCACTGGGAATGTTGGCACGGACACGGATGCAGTAGGATTTGAACCCATTTGATACCACTGGCCCAGCTCAGCACCATTTCTTTGATCTTCAGGCCCCCGAAAGTATGCAGGACGGAACCTTCTGCAGAGCAGGTCTGTGAAACACCGACAAGCATGGAAACATTTAAGCCTTTAACCCTTTCGAAATGTTTGTAAAAAAAAGGGTGGCAGTGACCTTGGGTCATAAACAAACACCTGCAGATACAAGTTGATCAACTTCAGGTCCAAACTGGGGCAACACACAGACTAACGGTGGACAGGAGAGGCTGTAACTTTAGACGGTAGAGTGAGGCAGATGGACTGAATGGTCTCCGCCATGTGCACAAACTTTCCTTTAAAAAAAAACAAATCTGGGTCTGATTTGTTCAGCGCATCAGAAGTGGATTTACTTGTTGAACCACTGTACAAAAAAGGTGGGAAGAATTTAGAATTAGATTTATTGTCATGTGTACTCAGTTACAGAAGAGCAGAAGTACAGTGAAAAAAAAGTGTACAATCTTAGGTACAAAAAGAAAATAGATAAAATAAAGAAAAAAAAGAAATAAAGCTAAAAACATAGACATTACAGTCTTGCTAGAAGGGCTTCTACATGGTCTGACCAGGCTCCACAAGTTCCAACCAGTAATCAATCTTCATTCTGGGCCCATTGGCCACTGTCACCATTCTGCTCGCAGCCCCCCCCAGGGACAATGGGAGCTCAGTCCGCCCCACCCAAGACTGTGCTGAAAGTGGTTTTCAGGCCATGAGACATAGAACTGCACAGCACAGGAAAGGGCCCTTCGGTCACAATGTTGTGCTGAACATGATGCCAAATTAAACTAATCCCTTCTGCCTGCCCTTGGTCCATATCCCTCCATTCCTTACATGCTCATGTGCTTATCTAAAAGTCTCTTAAACGCCCCTATTGTATCTGCCTCCACCCCTACAGCATGTTCCACACTCCTGCCACTAAAAAAAACACATCCCTCACATCTCCTTCGATTCTTTCCCCTTCTCACCTTAAATGCATACTCTCTAGTCTTAGGCATTTCAACTCTGGGAGAAAATGTTTCTGATCGCCAACCCTATTGATGTACCTCAATTTTATAGACTTCTATCAAGTCTCCCCTCAGCCTCCGACGCTCAAGCGAAGACAACAGGAGTTTTTCTGTCCTCTCCTTATAGCTCATACCCTCTAATCCAGGCAGCATCCTGGTAACCCTCTTCTGCGCCCTCTCCAAAGCCTCCTCATCCGTCCTGTGTAATGTGGTGACCAGAATTGAACGCAGTACTCTAAATGTGGCCTAACCAAAGTCTTATAGAGTTGCAGCATGACATCCTGACTCTTGTACCCAATTCCCCAACCAATAAAGGCAAGCATGCCATACGCCTTCTTTACCACCCTATCTACTTGCGTGGCCACTTTCAAGGAGCAATGGACTTGAACCCCAAGATCCCTCTGCATATCAATGCTGTTCAGAGTCCTGCCATTAACTTAATACTTTTCCTTAACATTTGACCTCCCAAAAGTGCAGACTTCTCACTTAACCAGATTAAACTCCATCTGCCATTCCTCCGCCCATATTTACAACTGATCTATATCCCGCTGTACCCTTTGACAACCTTCTACACTGTCCACAACTCCACCGATCTTTGTATTGGCTGCAAACTTACTAAGCCACCCATCTAAGTTTGCATCCAAGTCATTTGTATATATCACAAACAGCAGAAGTCCCGGCACAGATCCCTGCAGAACAGCACTAGTCACGGACCTCCAGCCAGAAAAACAACCTTCCAACGCTACCCTCTGCCTTCTACGGGAAAGCCAATTCTGTCTGCAAGTGGCCAAGTCACCGTGGATCCCATGCATCTTCAGCTTCTGGATAAGGCTACCATGAGGGACCTTGTCGAAAACCTAACTAAAATCCATGTAGCCAACAAGGAGCTTTGGTGGAAAAAAGTGTTCCAATGGGGAATAGTTTCCATTGAGCAAGTCTAAGAAACAACAGCTTGTATTTATATAGCACCTTTAGCGACAAAGCAGTTTCTCTCAAGATGTTTTGGGTAAAACGCCTACCACAACAGAGAACACTCATAAATCAAAAGCCAATAACAATTAACAATAAAGCCAATACTGACATTGTGAACGGTGCTCATGACCAATTCCTGACTTGATAGGAGGCCGTTCAGCCCATCGTGTCTGCACTGGCTCTGTAAACGGCCATTTTGCTTTGGTTTTCATTCGCCCCCACCTGCACTTTCTTCCTTTCCGGACAAGAGTCGAATTCCCTTTTGAATGTTTCAATAGAGCCTACCTCCAGAACACACTCTCAGGTAATGCATTCTGAAAACTAACCCCTCAGAAAACGTTTCGCGTTTTTGCAGTTGCTTTAAAAAGCCGTGCTTCCACAGGGTGGGAAAAGTTTCTCCCCATCGACTCCGTCTGGACCCATCGTGGTTTTGAAATGATACAGAATCAAATTGCTCAACCAATCGTACGAGAATCACATTTTGCAGAGCAATGATGGTGGTTACATTAAAAAAAAGAGGCAAACCCTGCAGGATATTTCACACCAGCTACGCCCCTCAGGCATCACTGGAGAGAAAGACCTGAAAAGAACACAGTTCTGTCCTCAATCTGCTGCAAGGATGTGTCAGCTTAGATTGGGACTTCCAACGAGGGATAGTTTTGTACCTTTTAGTGCACTCCCCTCGGGTCTGCAATGCTCACGGGTTCATGTCCCACTCCGGGTTGGTAATCCAGTGCCAGTACTGGGTGAACACCCCATGCTGTTATGTGGGAGAAGAACGGGGTAATTATCCCCACTGTGTTTATCCCTCGCTACCATCCGTAAGAACAGATCATCTGGTTGTTACACCTCACTGCTCAAGGTCAAAGTCAGACACACACACACAGCCTGCAAGGTGCTTGGCAGTACCCCAGTGTTTGAGGGCAAAGAAACAAAGTGCCAACCACATTGCAAACTGGACTGGTCGCCTGCAGGCGGACAGACAACAACTTGCACTTGTATATGTTTCCCTGTTGTATGACTCTACATAGCGCCTTTTAATGCAAGCAAACCCAAGGCTGTTCATAGGCACATTATCAGGTTCATTGTGACAATGGAGATACTGCGGCAGATAGACACGTGCGTGGTCAAAGAAGAAGTTTCTCAGGGGAAGAAGTGGAGGGGAGAACATGAGAGAACCAGGATAGAGACACTGGTATTATACTAACGGACAGTACATGATGATCCCAGAAAGGCAATACATTCCCCCTTTATCATACAATTGTACTTATCATTTTTACGTCACAGCTTACAATTGAAAGCTTTAACACTCTCTCCATCAATCCAACTGAAAACAGTATTTGTTAAAAGAAAAAAAACAGAAACTGGAGACTGGAAGGCATCTGTATAGCTGGAACCCAGCAGATGAAGATCTTTGACACATGGGTGTTCAGTAGTAACACTCTCTGTTCACCCCAATCCTAACTAAGAAATTTGCAAAACTCATGCTTGCAGGGACTGGAGTACTGAAGGAATGCTGCCTTGTCAAGTGAGAAATTAAACCAAGGCTTTGTCTGCCCTCCCTTGCAAATACCTACGTCCACAGTGCTGAGGTGGGGATGGTCGAGCACATCAAGTTCCTGGGAGTGACGATCAACAACCTGTCCTGGTCCACCTACATTGACACTAAGGACAAGAAGGTACAACAACCCCTATATTTCCTCGGGAGGCTAAGGAAAATTTGGCATGTCTCTAAAGACTGTTACTAATTTTTATAGACGCACCATAGAAAGCATTGTATCCGAATGCATCACAGCTTGCTATGGCAACTGTTCTGCCCAAGACTGTATGAAACTATAGAGTGTTGTGAACAGTGCCCCGTCCATCACGCAAGCCAAACTTCCATCCATTGACTCCATCTACACTTCTCGCTGCCACAGGAAGGCAGCTAACATCAAAGGCCCCTCCCACCCCCGTCATAGTCTCTACCCATCTCTTCTGTTGGGCTGAAGATACAAAAGCCTAAAACACACGAACCAACATATTCAAGAACAGCTTCTTCCCCGCTGTTATCTGAATAGACCTCACAAATTTTAAAACTTAATGTTGATCTCACTCTCTGTGCTCCTTCTTTGCAGCTGTAACTTTGCATTCCTCACTCTGTTCTATCACCCTATGATCTTTGCGTGGCATGACGTGCCTGGACTGCAGGCGAAACAAAACTTTTCACTGTACCTAGGTACATGTGACAATAATAAAGTAAATCAAACTTAAACCTCCATGAAGAGCAGGGGAATTCTCTCTCGAGTCCAGACCAATGCTTGTCCCTCAAAACCAACCTCACAGAAATACTACAGCAGAGATCAAAACATTGTTGATCGTGGGAGCCTGCTGCATGCAAATTGGTTGAAACGTTTCTCACCTTACAAGGGTAACCACACTTCAAAAAGTATTGCATTGGTATTTTATTTGAAAATAGTGGTTTTGGACACTCCAAAGTTGCAAAGGATGCCATCTGAAAACAAGTGAGATAACAAGATGTAGAGCTGGATGAACACAGCAGGCCAAGTAGCATCAGAGGAGCAGGAAAGCTGACGTTTCGGGCCTAGACCCTTCCTCAGATATATCTGAAAACAAGTGTTTTTGTTTTTTTTAAAACAAAACCCCATTCCTGAGTAGCTATTTCTCCAGTTCAATTGTCCCTGAAGGGCAACTTTCAGAGCTTTGTTTTTAAACATAAGCAGCCATGTACTCAAAGAAAAATGTTCCTCCATCCTGAGTTTTATCACCAGTGGGAACCACATTCCCCCCGTGTTATTTACCAACAAGTTGTACCGATGAGGCATCGCTGGATAAAATGTTCGTAGGTGCTTCACTGGAATGTGAACAATGATTGACAGCGAGCTATTTAGTTTCTTTTTTTTATGTAAAAAAAAGAGCCCGTTCGTGTTATCGATTCCTGCCGTCCCTGAGAGCAACCGGGACTCACCTGTTCCCTGGTGAAGTTTTTGTCCGGACCCAGCAGGTAAGGAGTAATGAAGCTTTCCGCTGGTTTAATCTGAGCCATGAACCCATAAAAGCATAGGTACAGGACCGAGAACCGCCAGCACTCGCCGGGCTGCTGCAGGGCTTTCTCTGGGACCTCGGGGTCCATTGCTGTTCGTCTGCGTCTGTCTATCTGTCTCTAACACAAGCCCTTGTTCCTGGGTCTTGCCCTCCCCCTCTCTGTGAGGTCTAACAGCCTCGTCCCCGGGAGGTGAACTTAGAAATGCAGGCTCCCAGACGCAAGACACGGCTCGCCCCTCGACCCAAACTCCCCTGGAGTTGAAGCTCCTTCGCAGTAGCTCGATTCCTTCTCTGCTGCTCCTGGTTCCGAAAGTTGTTGCTGCAGAGAGCAAGTGCCATGAACGAAACAAGGAGAGCTCCTCTTGTGACTTGCTGAGGCTTAAGAGAGTTTGCTGAACTCCCAGAGCACTGATTATAAGCAGAGGCGTCCCCCGCCTCCAACTCTGCGGCTTGTAGTAAAAACATTGACTCCAACTTTTTTTTACATTATATATATATCCTCCCTCAACTATACCCGCAAAACGTCACATGGTTTGCACAAAGCAAGCTGGGATTTGGAGTCCATCAGCCACTAGACCCTGACTCAATAGCGACCACTGTACTACATATACCGGAGAGCACTGTAAACACCAAAGGGAGGTTAACTGACAGCTAAGCAACTGGTGTTGAAACTTTTCCCTTTTCTATCTGTTACATTGCCACCATCTGGGACAGGAGGGAAGTTTAACTGAGTCACTTCTAATTGAAGCCTGAAGAAGGGTCACTGGACCCGAAACATTGACCCCGATTTCCTCTCCAAAGATGCTGCCAGACCTTCTGAGCTTTCCCAGCAATTACTGTTTTTTGTTTTGTTCCACTTGAAGGCTGGCTTGCCTAGGTTCGGAGTTTGCTGTGTATCTTTGGCGCTTATAGAACTCGCTTTCGAGGTTGGTAAATGTGCAGTTCAGTTGCATTAGCCGTCAATGTGCGAGTGCCTAGGATTGTTTGATTTGAATGCTTTTTAAGGGGAGCTTCGGACGGCACGGTGGTTCAGTGGTTTAGCAATGCTGCCCCACACCGCCGGGGACCTGGGTGTTCAATTCCAGCCTTGGGCGACTGTCTGTGTGGAGTTTGCACGTTCTCCCAGTGTTCTGGTTCCCTGCTACAGTCCGAAGATGTGTAAGTTAGGTGGCACAAAGCACAGAGTGAGTTAAGGGAAAGAAACAAAAACTCTCGCACTGCTGTCACACATTCTTATAACCTCTCGGACAGTGTGTATTCCCTGTTGGGAAACATAGCACACCAATACAGTGATGATCAGATCATCTGTTTCTGTGACGCTGCTTGAGCCATGACTGGCATAATTCCCCAGCTCTTTACCAGGATATCAGGTGTCATAACCAAAGAACTAAGAATTTGTATCAATATTTTTATAGACCCCTTTCAGCTTCCAAGTGTTTTAATTTTTTAAAAAAAGTGTCACAGCTTTATGCTTAAAACAAAATGATTAATTTTACTACATTTCAGTTACTGAAAGTTAGTTCAATAAGAATTTATTAGCTAAGATGCAGACACAAAGATTTAAAAATTGGGCAGGATAAAAGATATTTATAAAGTGAGACCAGTCAATAAGATAATCAGGGGCCTGGCTTGCTTGCAAATTTCTCTTTCCAAAATGAAGGGGTTGAAAATGGAAGTCAGAGTCAGCAACTTCTGTAGTCGAATGGTTGAGCGTTTCTCCACAGGGGGACTGAGCAAAACAGGTTCTTGGGGGCAATGAGGACTCTTTTTGCGTTGTTTTTATGATTTCTGCAGGTTTGGCCCGTGGTAACCTGGTCAAGTGTAGCCATCCCTCAGCTGGTTTGCCTACTCCACCTGCTTGCTGAGAAGCAGGGAGTGTTTCAAAATGCCTCTCTTGCAAAAATAAATGTTGCTCTCACCCTTATACACATCAAAACGGCCCCTCGGTGCTGCACTGTCAGCCTAGATCATCCCCTTAAGTGTCTGGAGTAGCACATGAACCATAAACTACCCATTGAGCCAGAACTGCTGACTTGTCGAAGGTGCAACGTGTTCCAAGGTTCAGCATGTGGTTTGGTATCAGATTGTAACTGATACTGGAACTTTTTATCATTTTAAAGGTGGTCTGTAAGTTCCAGCCTGCAGTTTGTTAAATTAGAGTCTTTTAAGTGTAGATTTATTCAAATGAAATGCAAATTCCGATTGAAATCGCACAGGCAAAACAATGCCACACATTGGAAATTCTATTTTTAAAAATCTGAACTTGAACTTCTCATGAAAATGTGAAAGCTTAAGTGTACCAATAGATTCCCCACCATCATTAGACTTCTGAATGGACCACTCAAATTTCAAATTTAATGTTGATCTCACTCTCTGTGCACCTTCTCTGTAGCCATAACACTGTATTCCTTGCTCTGTTCTGTTACCCTTTGTATGGTATGATCAGCCTGTACTGTATGCAAAACAGAACTTTTCACTGTACCTAGGTACATATGACTACAATAAATCCAATCAAAAACCAATGTGTAACCAGCCCAATTTTATTCCCTGCTGGACGCCAAGGAGAATCCCAGTTTGCCTTTTGTCAAATCAATGTTGCGTCTGATCCTTTAGGTCACCTTCTTCACGAGACCAGTTGAAATTGTTTTCCATAGTTTTGTACAGCACAAAGGAAGGCCATTCAGCCACCCCTGCCTGTGATGGCTCTTTGTCCTGCCAATTTGTTCTTCTGAAGCACGGATCCATTTCATTTTGGAGCATCTTTGCTGGACTTGCTTACACTGCCCTTTCAGAGGAATTCCAGACCCCGACAACTCGCTGTCAAAGCAACACCGTTTTCCTTTGCGCTTACTGAGCCTTCTGTGATAGGAAACTTTCACGTACACATGTGTAGTAATGTGAGAGCTACGCTCGTGTGAGATCCACAGCAACAGGCTTCAGTGACCAGAAGTACATATTGGAGACGGTAAGAGAGGACGATTTTATCTGGAGCCCTACAGACCCAGGCTCCTGTTCCAGGTGATCTGATGTTGCAATGACGTAGCTCCTTTTGCACACTCTCGGCAGCTCTCCTTAATGTAAAGGTGTATCTCCCTTTACTCCACATCTCCTTCTCTTCCATCCAAGTCCTTTACACCACCAAAGTCTAGCCACGAACATTTCACTCTCTTACTCCACTTCCCCCCCATCCATGTGGCTCTGTTCTCTTGAAGTATTAATCACCATCGGTGTTGTCTAAAAGGATGTGGAAGCATGGGGCAGAGATAGTAGGAACTGCAGATGCTGGAGAATCCGAGAAAACAAGGTGCAGAGCTGGATGAACACAGCAGGCCAAGCAGCATCATAGGAGCAGAAAGGCTGACGTTTCGGGCCTAGACCCTTCTTCAGAAATGGAGAAGGGGAAGGGGGTTCTGAAATAAATAGGGAGAGAGTGGGAGATGGATAGAAGATGGATAGAGGAGAGGATAGATGCAGAGGAAACAAACAGGTCGAAGAGGCGGGGATGGAGCCAGTAAAGGTGAGTGTAGGTAGGGAGTTAGGAAGGGGATAGGTCAGTCCAGGGAGGACGGACAGGTCAAGGGGGCGGGATGAGGTT